TGCTGAACACTGGCCTGTCCCAATGCAAATACTTGGTTAGCTGGATACACTGCATGACAATTCTGCACTGGCATCTTTATTAGCTGTAATGCCTGTGTTAGAATCACTGCTAGCATGTACTTAATGCTGTCAGTCATTAAAGTAGCATTCAGAGGATTAATCTGCACATATACTATTCCCTATGATGTATAAAAGCTGAACTATTTTGAATACATCACCTTTGTTTTCACATTCAAAATCTTGTGCATGCAATAAAAGTATTCACAACAGAAAACTGTACATTTCTATTGTGTCAGATGGCACCTGTCTTTAATCTACATGAGGGCCATTCTGGGTGTCTAGGTCCCAAGAAGATGAGTACTCCTGTTTTTTTCTTACCCTTTGGTCTTGGTACTTTCACCCATGCAAAGTGCAACACAGCTTCCTCCCTGCCCACTACTGCTCTCTGAACTGGGTAGAGAAGTGCTGTCTGGTGGCAGCTGGGAAAGTTGCATGCATCTGCCCCAGGTCTTTCCCACCTGTGTGCTATGCGGGCTTTGGCATTCAGACATTGACACCAACAGTTGTGACTGCAGCTCCTAATTTTGCTTGTTTTGATGAGCTAGTAACATTGGTAACCTCAGATACTGAGCACGGAGCAGATACAGTTGTTTGTCATCTCTGTAAAAGCGGCACTGAGTGTCAGCATCTCAAGCTATGCATCCAAGAAACCTGGCAATACCTGCTATGGGTGGCTCTAACCTCAGTCTGACAGTATGGGGTGTGTTAGGAAAATAAAAGTTACAGCTGCCAAGCCCTTTCTAGTCATCCTCTACAAGAGGTGTGGCTGCTGAGCTGGGGATTAACCCCTGTTGCATGATAAACAGAGTTGTTTATTTAAATTAAACATGAAACTTAAATAACTGATCATGAACTTTCAAGGTGAAGAAAACATGGGCAGCTTTGCAGTGCCTGTGACTGGGGCATCAATGAGCTCTGCAGGCAGAGTCATCGCTGCCGGATCCTAAATGGCTGGGCAGGTAGAAGATGCCATCTGTTTCTGTCACCGGAGCTTGCTGGCTGCCTTCTGCCTAAAGCACGTGGTTTCTCGGAAACCAAAAGGAAACAAAGCCCACTTTGCAGAACCACTGCCATTTCCCTGCACCGCAGCGGGAGTCATGTGCTCTGCTTCCCTGGATGGGACAGAGCCAGGAAAAGCTTCGCGGCTGCACGCAGCCTGAAATAACCCCTCTGTCTTCCCTGCTCGGGATTTCCCAGCGCTCTCTGCCCCTCGGCCTGACCCTGACCGCTGAGGAGCATCTCACCTGTGGCTGAGGCTGTCTCTGCAGTGCTGCTCAGCACTCCTGTTAGAAAATATTTGTCCCCAGTCAGCAGAAATTACACTTAAGAGCATTTGCTTCCTTTGGGATATTAAACAAAACATACCATGGGACAGGAAAAAGAAATAAACTGAGCACACATCCTCTTCCCCTGGGATGGGGGTGTGAGTGTCAGCGACAACATGATGACTTTATGATTAAGCGGCAAATTTTCACAGCAATGCCATTTAGAAGCTGAAAAAAATAGGCTTCTGGAGCTTTTTTGTTTCGATCTCTAGAGCCCCCTGAGGTGTAGTACAGATGTGTATAACCCTATTAGAGATGTCAAAATTTTATGAGGTATTACTGTATTCATCTTACAAGGACTCAGCAAATCGTAGAGGCGGAAAATAGAATATAATTTTCCAAAACAGTAGAAGTAACACCTGAAGGTGAAAGGAAAGAATAGAAAAGTGTGTCACAGAGAGCATGGTGACATGTTTGAGGGTGTCATTGTTTGTTTTGTCTGTGCAGGAAGACGTGAGGGACTGCCCTGTGCTGCTCACAGCTGGCTTGGCACTGGACAAAATAGACCCACTGCACCCCAAAACTGGACCAACCAGCTGAGTTTATAGGGCCCCTGTGGAAACATGTTTAAGAAAGGGAAGTGAACGCTGAAAAAGGAGAGACAAGGCCAGGGCAGGTACAGCATCCAAAGGGACAGTGACCAGTGGAAGAGCCCATGCTGGAGCAGTTGAGTAGGACACAAGGAGCAGCAAAGGCAAAGGGACCCCCACGCACCAACCCCCAGCTCCTGCACTGCCCATGGTCTCACCAAAGGGCCTGGGTGTAACCTGAGGCACAGGGATGGGGGACTGGGATGTGGGGCAGAGAGGTGTCTAAGTGTTGGTTGGTTTGTGACTTGTCAATAAATTAATTTGATTAAAATTCCCAGCGCAAACCAGGTATTTTTTGGCCCACGACAGGGTGTCTGACAATATATTGAGCGAATGAGCATTTTCATACTGCAGTGCCCCAGAGGAGGTTGGGGAGAGCAGAGAAGTCCCCTGGGAAAGCTGAGGTTTGCTTGTGAACTGCTGCAAACAAATACCAAAGGGGAAGGAAACAAAGGGTGAACAAGGGAGATGAAAAGACTAAGAAAGCTAAGAGGGAAGACTCATCCTTGAGCAATGTGCACTGCTACCACAGCTCAGGCCAGAGAGCCTGTCTCACCACCATGCTCCAGCTTCTCCCACCGAGAAGCGTCCACAGCAAGTCAGGGTGCACCAGGATCTGCAAGAACGTGACACCTACAGAGAGGAGGAAATGTTGCAAGTGAGTAATCATCCACATTCACATCTCGAAGGAAAAAGAGCTCTACCTCCATACTCTGGACTTGCCTGAGTCTTTTCCCCTTTGGCTAAAGTCGGTGCTGCTCTTTCTTCAGGATCTCACTCCCTCCCAGGCCATCCATGACAAGCACCTTTTGCGTGTTCTGCTCTTGGCAAAAAACTCGGTGCTTTCCCCACCAAACTGCTCCCAGGCGGTTTTGGGTCCCAAGGCCTGGGAACCACCAACTGCTGTGGTACTGTCCTCACTCCTTCCGCTGTGTCCCTGTGCTGGCAGCTGGGCTTGGCCGACCGGCATTTCCCTGGTTTGTGTTTGCCTTCAGAGAGGCAGCAGGCCAGGCAGCACAGCGGGTGTGCCCCCCCTTGGGGTTCTCCTGAAATCTGGGACATTTTTCTGAGGATTTTGGGATGAGACAGTAGAAGTCTGTGCAGCTTTCTATCAGACTACTCTTTGTTTGCTGTGGTGAAAAGGGAAAGGGAGGGACGTGGGGGTAGTTTTGGTGAAGTCATTTGAGGCACCCCTCGATAGCGGTGGGACAGAACCCCACCAAGACTGATCAGTCTCTGTGAGGTTGCACTTTCCTTGTGCTCCAGGGTATCGGGCTGGTTTTGCTCTTCATGCTGCGCATTTCTCCCTGTTCCTTCCCTCCTCCAAACCAGCCCAAACAATATGAGGTTTTGTCTGCGCTTGGCATCCAGCAGCAGCAGCAGTTCCTCAAGCCCCTTAGCCCTTATTTCATGTGTGTGCCCTGGACTTAACCAGAACATTCCTGCCAGAGGTTAAGCTCAGGTGCCGTGTGGATAATCCAAGATCTTTTTTTGCCTTCAGTTCCAAGTGACCGTGACAATAACGAGCCCGTGTGTGCCATCTGCAGCTCCGCACTGGCCCTTCTCCTGTCCCCTATCTCTTTCTCCCTCCCAGGCAGGTAGGGCTTAGGGATAGGACATAGATCCTGGCTGCAAGCCAGGGAGATTAGGGTAGCAAAATGCCTGCGCTTCCAGCCTGGGTGTCCTGCACCCATTTATCTCCTGTGTTAAAATGATGTGGCTTGCCAGGGCACTGTGGCCAGGGATGCTGTGCCCACGCTACTGTCACCACCCCTGCAACGGTGTCATTCTGGACTGGCAATGCCTCCCACCCGGCCGGTACCAAGGCTGGGAGCCGCGCGGGGTGAGTCCCTGCTAAACCAGAGGGCTGTGGGGAAAGCAGTGACCGTGGAGCAAAAGCAGGACTGGAGAGAGTTGCCAGAGCTGGAAGTGGGGTCTTTGGACTGAAGGAGCAAGAAGTGCCAGGAAGAGGGGACGGCAGGGCACCACGGTGCTTGCAGCACAGCAGCGCTCTCAGGAACAAACCAGGAAAATTAGTGCTCGGGCAAGGATCTCCCTCAGGAAAGAGAAGCCAAGCACTGGCTTTGGCAGGGCTGCGAGGGAAGGAGAGCCGATCTTTTTCTTCCTCACTGAAAACCTCCTTTTTCCTCTTTTCTCCTCAGAGAGTGAGATCTTTGCTCTGGCACCTGATGCCACAGTGAGAGTGCTAGTCCTTCCCCCTCATGTGGTTGGTTTCTTTCCTGATTAGAAGTGATTAGGCAGCCCTAAAGCCTGCAGAAATGTGACCAAGGGGAACGGAGACAAAGAGTCCATTCAAGATCTCTTAAATCCTCAGGGCAGTATTTAGGGAGCCCTGAGGAGACAACTGGAGCTGAACTGCTCCACCAGGACCTCCCTGTCCTTCTCCTTCCTGTTGCGTCCTTCATTGCAGCTGTCTCCTCCACCATGTCGTTCTCCGAAGCAGAGGTGCAAAGTGCCCGTGGCGCCTGGGAGAAGATGTATGTGGATGCCGAGGACAATGGGACAACTGTGCTGGTCAGGTAAGGGAAGAGCCCATCCCGCTGCTACCCCAGAGGGTTGAAGGAGGAATGGCAAGAAGGGTGGAGTTACCACCTAGGAGCACATCTTGATGCGTTTTCATGCAGCCCTTGCTGGGAACATTTTGGTTTGCTGTGGTTTATTCCTCCTCAGGGAGGAAACAGGGAAGAGGAGAGATCCACACAAAGAAAAGTAAAAGGAAATGGGGAAGGGGGATGGAAAAGGAGGAAGACATGAGAACAATTTCTTCATCCCTCTATCCAGTAGAAAAGTGATGTATATAAGGTAAAGAAAGTATGTTATAAAAGAGAATAGGAACAAAACATGGGCTTATTTCCCTCTTCCCCTTTACCTCTGAACTCCTTTAATGATTTTTTTTTAACTTGCATTTCCTCAATATTTCTCTTCTAATTTTCCTTTCCAGACCAGAGCCCGTGTGTTTCATTGTATTGTATCCTTCCTGTGGGCTTTCCTCTCTCAGTTTTCACTCTGTTTTCCTCTCTTCTTCCCTAAGATACAAGTTTCTTCTGTCCACCTTTCACATATCCCTCTCTCAGCTGGGACTTAAATCATCTCCATATGTACTGATCAGTACAGCTACTATTTCTGGTTATCATATTTTTACTACTCCCTCTGGCTTTTTTGTATATCACATCTTGTGCTTGGATCAGCCTCAACATATGTTATGAACGGCTTTTTCCTTCTGCAGTCTACACAGCCTGAGGAGAGTTAGGGTCAGAAATGCAGCTATAAAATGTTAGTAGCATCCAATGGCTTGGTCCCCGGGGTAATTTACTCTAGAAGATTTTGCCTTAGTGTCCTACAGACTCATCCCTGCCTTTAGAGAAGTTCTGGGCTCCCCAGTACAAAAGAGACATGGACATACTGGAGAGAGTCCAACAAAAGGCCATGAAGGTGACGAAAGGACTGGAGCATCTCTCCTATGAGGAAAGGCTGAGAGTGCTGGGAGTGTTTGGCCTGGAGAAGAGAAGGCTCAGGGGGATCTCATCAATGCATATAAAAACCTGAAGGGAGGGTGCAAAGAAGACAGAGCCAGGCTCTTCTCAGTGGTGCCCAGTGGCAGAACCAGAGGCAATGGGCCCAAACTGAAACACAGGAGGTTCCCTCTGAACATTGGGAAACACTTTTTTACTGTAAGGGTGGCCAAGCACTGGCAGAGGTTGCCCACAGAACCTGCAGAGTCTTCATCCTTGGAAATACTCAAAAGCCGTCTGGACATGGTCCTGGGCAACCGGCTCTAGGTGACCCTGCTTGAGCAGGGGGTTTGGACCAAATGACCTCCAGAGGTCCCTTCCTACCTCATGTGTTCTGTGACTCTGTGAAATGCAATCTGAAATTTGCTATTGCTGTTTCAGGTGGATAACTGGTTTACCCAACTGAGTAAGCTGCTTTTTTAAGAGCTTGACCAAGATGATTGTAATCGATGTATTATAAAAGCCAATTTCTTTATGAGTGGCATTGAATTGTGTAACTTTTGAATAAATTAAATGAGTAGTACCTGGTACTCAAACAATAATCCATCACAGGCAGTAAGAAAGCTTTAGGATGGACTCTAGGAAGGGGTTAATTAACAAAAACTCATAGTAGGGTTTCTCCATGAAAACACCCACTGAGACCACAGTGGACGTATCTTCTGTCCAGAACATCCTTGGGAATATTGTGCTGTCACACTGACCCTGTTTGAACGTGCTCCCACTTCTCGGTGGATTTTATCTCAATCTAACACTGAGTCAACACTGAGGAAATGTTTACTTTAGAAGCAGTGGAATAAATTCAGGATAGGTAGGTTTAAGGCAGAGTGAGCAAAGGAAAGTGCCCTGGGGAGAGGTGAGGAAGGGGACAAGCTGCTGTGGGCACAGGGGCTGTGCACAGATGGGAAGGGCAAAGGAGAACCAAGAAATGCAGTGAAAAAGGTGTCTGTTCTAATAAAGAGATGGAAAAAGGGCAATAAATGCATAAGACAAGGCCTGGAATGTGAAGCCGTATCTTCATTGATGCCTCGGTCCACAAATTAGGACATCTCTCATTTCTCAACAGGATGTTTACCGAGCACCCAGACACCAAGTCCTACTTCACACACTTCAAAGGCATGGGCTCTGCTGAAGAGATGAAACAGTCGGATCAGGTCAGGGGCCACGGCAAGAAGGTTTTCACCGCCATCAACGACATGGTGCAACACCTGGACAACTCCGAGTCTTTTCTTGGGATAGTGAACCCACTCGGCAAGAAACATGCCACCCAGCTGAAGATTGACCCCAAAAACTTTAGGGTGAGCCAGCAGCCATCTTCCCAGGGGGTGTAATTGTGATGGGAGGATGTCTTCCCCTTGGAGGGGTAGAACTGAGGAATGGGAGGATGTCTTCCCCTTGGAGGGGTAGAACTGAGGAAAACAGGCTTTGTATATATAAATATATGTATGCATTAGAGAGTGGAGATCATGGAAGGAGAGACGGTTGATGGTGGAAGATGCAGGAATGAGAGATCTGGCGCCTGTTGGGAAGAAGGCTGTGCAGCAGATGCGATGCAGGCAGGCCTGCTCAGGTGGGAGCTGCAGAGCTGCCCACGAGTTGTAGTGGGTTTTCTCAGTGCAACAGGATTCCCATGCTTGTCATTTAATAACAAGGCACAGAAAAGCCCTTAACACTGGATTTCAGTCCTTGATGTGTATTTTTCTCTAGTAACAGGAACTGAGCTTTTCTAAGACAACTAAACCAGCTATTATTGAGCAACAATGGCAACAGCATAGCCATCACTAAACAAACACAGAAAATAAATACAGGATGAAATGACTTACCCAAGTCCACCTAGGGTCACTAGCAGAGTGCATTTATAACTATTTTGTCTGCCTTACACAACACAAAATGCAAAAGGAGGCACCTTCTGGCAAAGGTCACTCAGGCACCAGGAAGGTAGTTTCCAATGCAATGGGCCCAGTTTTCAGTAAGTGGGAGAATAAGTGAGGATTTCTGCCTGGAGAGGTCCTGAAAAGACTTTTTCAGGGTCAAGATGGACACAAAATAATAAATGCTGCACAGAAAAGGAGTTGATGCTTCAAAGTATGCCACATACCTAGAGGCTGTAAAGACATATAAACCCTCATCGCTACAGAGTGCTAGATAGCTATCAAGCAGGAAAGATTGGGAAACTACCCCAAACCATGTATTCCATAGGTGTCCAACACGGGGCTCCTCATGGCCTCTAAACATTAGGGACAGTCCACTGCCAGGAGAAGGATTGCAGTAAATGGACCAAGTGAACTGGTCCTGTACGGCAGTCTTTAAGTGACTGTGTATACAGATGCAGTCAACATTAACTAGATACAGGATAGTTTAAAAAACCAAGAGTGACTGTGTTTTTTGGTGAATTCTATAATGCACCTAATTTTCCATGGCCTATTTCCAGCTCTGCACGCTATATGAATTGTTTTTGCAACCCCTTCCTACTCTCCAAGAATCCCAAATAAAAATAAGCATTTTGTTCTTAGGCTTGTAATGTGGAGGAAAGTTCACACTGATTGTTTCTTCCCTTCTCCTTGTCTAGATAATCTGTGACATTATCTTGCAACTGATGGAGGAGAAATTTGGTGGAGACTGCAAAGCTTCCTTTGAGAAGGTGACCAATGAAATCTGCGCTCACCTGAACAATGTCTACAAAGAGGCGGGTTGGTGAGGATGTGCAACCTCCAGGCTCTTCAAATGTCTCGCCGGCACTGATTTGCTCCTTTTGGACCTCCAGCCACAGGTGGAAGAATGAAAAAGTAAAAAAAAAAAAAAGCAAGAAAAAAGGCTTATATAATGTAGATAACAATGTCAATAATTTCCTTAGCAAACTGAGTTTCTACAGTTAAATACAACCCACAGATACATCAAAGCCAGCTAAGAAATCCTGATGTGCTTTGCAGTTTCAGTGCTACAGGTGGGTTCCTCTGGCCACTGTCCTTGAAGACTATGTTTTAAGACAATGACTTTAAGCTTGCTGTTCCTGAGAGAAAGACTTGCTCCTACCAGCAGCACCAGCCCAGAGAGGTACCAGCAACTCTTTATCTCAGCTACCACCTCTCCATCCTCATGAATGAAGAGCAGGATAACATTCTGAAGCATCTCCAGTGACTTTGTAGAGGTCATTATTTAAGAAGCAGGGTGTTGTTTGGTGTTAGAACTAAAAAAATGAGTTAAGTGGTGCATGGGAAAGACTAGTCTGAGAAAGACATGGGGAAAGTCCTGTCCTGTACGAGTCAGTGGAGTTCCCCAACCTGGGGAGAGGTTTGTTGGAGCAACTTTCAGCCCAAGGGATGGCCATGCTGAATGTGGTCACCACTGGGTCCCTCTGGGCAGGGATGAACATCTCCAGCACTTTGCCCAGCAAATTGCTCTGGCCATGTGCCCAGGAGAGGGTAATAGTACCGAGCTCACTAGCTCCTGTGCTACTCAAAATGCATCTAGCTGAGGGAAGTTGCTGCTCTGCTGAGCGGGCGGCATGGTGGGCTCAGCTCAGCATGGGATTTCTATGGCGCTGCCCTCATCCTGTCCTGTCACACAGCTTGAGGCTCCCTTCAGTGGTAACCAAGTCCTGAACTATTTAATTGCTTTTCCTTGTATTCCTTAGATGTGGTGAAATCATCAGCTAATAACTGCAAATAACTACATGCCTTTTTGCTTTAGTGTAATGCAATAAACACAGAGAAAACAGATGCATCCTCTCATTTGTAGCGTGGAAAAGGCATGCGTGATGGGCAGGGGCAGTAGCTGGTTACAGTGCACAGTTACTGGTGGTATTGGGGGGGTTACCGAAATCAGCTCCAGCTCCCACCCAGGCACCCATCACACTTGCAGTAATCAGTCTCCTTGGGTGGTGGGAAGGGAAGCTTTTTGCTTGACCATGAAGCAACAATTTTGTAAACAGCTGAAAATGCAGAATTTTCCTTCATTCAAGGTGTAGTTTCCTCACCCATCCCATTTGTTTGGCAAAGGATGCTGAAATCCCAAAGTCCAGAAAATGAATTCTTGCTGGAGAGGGAGGATGGGGCAGACTACTTTATTTGATTTGGTATTTTATCCCACTTGGGGAGAAGGGGAAGCATATTGCACAGCATCGTCAAGTATTGTAAGAAAAGAACAGGACTTGTAATAAAATATTTATTGTCTCAAATCCCTTTGAGGCAGTACAAGTAAACACTCTGAAAAGCTTAAAATAATTTCCCCTTTTTATTTACTTGCTTTAATGCACGTTAAAAGCACTATTTGCCATGATGATGATTAGCTATAATGACATGCTCATCATTGCCATAGACACCCTGGGCTGGCAGGGGCCTGCCAACGCTGGCCGATGGTTGAAGGCTCTTGTGCTCCCTGTGATGGAGAGAGAGGTGTAGCAAAAGCAAAGCATGTGAAACAAATCAAACTCAGGCTTAAGTAAAGAGGAAATTTTTTTTTAAAATCCATTTATAAAGGGGGGAACACATTAAATTTTAAAGATTTGTATGATGTGAGTCATGGAGGAGTACATGGCCCTTTTCTTTTGTTTGTTTAGCTGAGATTTCAACAGAACAGCAAGAAGCTTTCCCAACAGAGCATAGATCAGATGGCATCTTGAGACTGAGGTTACCTGAGCTGAATTCCCAGTTTTCCAGCAGCCTCACTGCACAATCCTGTCCATCTTTCCTTGGACCTCACTGTGCCTCTGCAAAACAGCAACATTCACATATTTGTGAGGCAAACCAAACACACTCTTTACTTATTGAACCAATAAATACATGGTGCTATACATACTGCAGGCATTCTTAGGGATAACTTTGATCCTGTGAAGGGAAACCTAAGGGAAACATCACAACTAAAGGTAGCAGGAAGAGATTTCCTGTGGAGCACCACCAGTGAGTGGGACCAAAGCCCTCACACCAAGCTTCATGGTTTTCTTACAGCCTGTGGGACATCACGAAGGTCTGGGTGAGACAACAAATCTGTGACATAGCACGAGTAGTATGACAAGTGCCTGTGACAGGTTAAATCAGCTAAGTGCCGTGGAGTTGTCTTTGTGTCTGAC